AACTGATTTAAACAGAGTGTCATGCATTTACAATATGCCCCGTTTGAAACAGGATTACAAAGACTCCTTCATTAGTAGAAAGAGAATGTTTCAAGATTTTGAACAAACCGTTTCTCAAAGGTGTTCTTAACTCATTATAAAAGATGACAATACAAAAGAAAATGAGATTCATTCTCCACTTCTCCTGATAGTTCACTCAGTCTGTGTTCCTCCGTGATGATTTTAAATCTGAAAAGCTAGAGGAAGGTTTCCTGTTCTCTACTGAGCAACCAAAGATCTCTGACGTCTTGTGAAGTTTGCTTTGACAAAAATTCTGTAACAAAATTATGCTTGATTTGAACATATGTCGGTAACCAACAATTTTTTCGGCTGTGGCTCAGTTTGTAGAGTCGGTCGTTTCTCAACCGGAAGGTCGAGGGTTCGATCCCCAGCTCCTGCAGCAACATGTCCAATGTGTCCTTGGGCAAGACACTTAACACCGAGTTGCTCCTGCTGCTTCGTCTGCGGTGTATGAATGTGTATGAATGTGATTAGTTACTTCTGATGGTCTCTTTACTCAGCAGCCTCTACCAACAGTGTGTGAATGTGTAGGTGTGACCTGTGGTGTGAAAGAGCTTTGAGTAGTCAGAAGACTAGAAAAGAAATATACAAGCTCCATTTACCATTTCTCTTAAGATTAGTTTTTTTCTGATTCCATCCAGACTGCAGGGTAAATGATTTCTATAGATGTGTTGTAATTTAGCTTCACCGCAGACAGCATGAAAGTGTAGCCTAAAGAGAATTCTGCACTTTACTCCAAAGAAAAATTGTCTTATTGAGCCTGCTATCCAACATATTAATGTAATGATTCCACAATCATTAGTATTATGGATATGTCCTCCTTACACATGTTGTAGTATCCGAAGCTGTGCAGTACTCTTTTCAGTACTCTTCCGCCGTGTCTTAAAAAGTTTGAAAGAGAAAGTCCAGTCATTGGAGGAGCAGAGTGTCTGGATGTCTGTAGCTGAAAGAGTTATAAAGTTAATTGAATATTGAGATTTACAAACCATGTCAATTTCCAAGATCGACATCTCTCCAGGGGTCACGGTGCCACCAAACTGCTCTTTTCCTGCAAAAGAGTCAGAGTGACACTTTCTTTCATACACATGGTGTGGGTTTCAAATTTGCCACAGTGATGACTCAGGCCGTCTCGCAGCATATTGTACCACAGCTGGGGATCATCATCACTCTGCGCAAAGAGCATCTATGCTGCTGTTCACCGAGGGGAACAAAGTCAATATTGGATACATTTTCTGGTGAGAGGATGATAGAAAAGTCTAATAACGTCTGTGAAAGACTCTCCAGCTGTAGGGTGTCAAACTCAAGAACACACAGAGCGACCAAACACACACTTTGGAGGCAGCAGCAACACACTGCAGGATTTCTCATTCCTGTTTAATGGCGTCATTAGCGTGTCCTTGGTGACAAGGTGGACTGTGATGTAATAAGTGATTCAGCCGGACCGGGGGCGGTAAATGAAATAATCTCCAGGATAAATGACATTGTGACCCCCATGCTGCTGCACACACATGGCACATTATTTTGGACTCCAAGTATCCTCCCTCTAAAGGAGACTATACCGTCATCATTAAGCATTGCTCTCGTCATCATTTGGCATGTGGTGCTGTGTACGTGTGTGTAAAGACATGTACTGAATGCACTCTGAGCAGCTGTTGAAGGTGTGTAGGTTGACATTTCATGGCTTTTTTGAAAACAGACAGTGGGAGGATGTTGCCCTTCAGAGACAGCGCTGTATAAAAAAAAAAATCGGCAACTTTTACAGCCTCGAAATCAATTACAGCGTGTAAAATATTCTCATGCAGATGTGATCTTCTCATGCACGACATGAAGACACAAATGTACCCATCGGCCTTGAGGGAGAAATGAGTCATTCGGTGAAGAGATTAAAAACAATCCTCGTTATCCGTCAATTGCATTTATTCTTCTCATCCTTCTCATCCTTCTGCAAACCTATATATAATATAACACACGTTGGCAATCACTTAGATATGTAAAAATATAGATTATTCCATCTGCCCGGAGGGAAGCAGCATTTTTCCTCACAAGGTTCTTTGTTTAAACCCTGAAAAACTGAATTACAACCTGCAGCAGCAAGAAAAAAACAAAAGCAGAGCACTGAAAAATGATAGAAAGCACCAGTTGTGGAGACTGTCAACACTGGTTTTATTTTCTAAAGAATGAACTGGAGGTGAGCGATTAGTCTCATTTATTCCAGTAAGACGTAACATGCTAGCTAATGTTATCCTTAGAATCACTCACCTCTTGACCTTCTCTTTCTCTTTTGCTGTTAGGGTGTGACTTTCTCAAATGTTAATATCATCTCAATCAAATCATCACAGTGGCCCACATGAGTGTGAAAGCTGTTTGAGGTGTCAAATATGTAACGCTCTCACATTACCAGAAAATTTCGGCCAAACGTTGCCTCGGACAAAGGGCCCCTGATCCGCATGAATCAGGAGTAAATAGTCCTGAAACTGTAGTCTGAGTTCTCCTCACATCTCCCCATGTCTCCAGTGTTCGAGAGGGAGAGACAGGACTGAAGATTAGATTGAACCTCTCATCTCTTCAATCCCTGCACACCAGACTTCTGAACTTCTAACAAGCAGCCAGCGTGTATCCACTACCTGCTCGTCCATCCTGCAGATTTGAGAGAAACCGCCGCACTCTGAATGAACTGTAGGATGCTGACAGCTGGAGGGACCGAAGGCAATTACAGAGCTGGAACAACGCTGCTGCTGGAGTCCCCTGATTGAAAAACTGACTGAAGTACAGTTCAGTTCAAATTTCAGGATTGGATCGGTATTGTGTTACTGCCGACTGACGATTTTACTTTGAAGTGGACGTTTAAGAAAGCTAATTCATGGGCTCTGAAGAAGAAAATCTTTTTCTCCTCTGACAAATGAATGTCAGTGAATTTGGTGTTTTTTGCCCGATGAGCGGTGTGACAAACATCCCTCCATTGAGATATTTAACGTCTTACATGATATAAAATAAACCTGTACAACACAGACTCCAGGTAAACCGAGTAGTTCAGAGATCATTCGGTCCACAGTTCACACGTTGATGTTGTTGTTCTTTTTATTGACCAAGGTGTAATAAAAGATCAAAAATCCAATCTGCTTGATCTAATAAAACAGTAAGGGGAGTGTGAGACAGTTTTCAGTATTAAACGTGTGACAGTCTGCAGATGATTGGATACAAGAAAGAGCTCCACATAAACGAGGGGAATCTTTTTCATTCTATCCTGGAAAAAAGCTGGAAAGATCTACGACTCCCATTACATTCTAATATCTATTAGATATCTATCTTGCAAGTCTTTTTTTTTTTTTTACCATTACAGAAACATATCCAGTATTTCCAATTGAGTTTTGATTATCAACCGATTCCTCTTTTCGTCGCTCATCTGACGCAGTCTTATTAGTAAGAAACCAGGAGTTTCTTATTTCAGTGGTTGCATCAAGCCCTCTCCTGTGGATGTCAAGATGTAAACAGATCTCTGGTGTATCTGAAACGTGAGATTGTGCTGTCAGATCACTGAATGCTACCTCTGTTGTCGCCCCTTTTTTTCTAACTTCTATTGCTCAAATTTCACCTCCCGGCTGCTCGGCCGCACATATTTTTAGCCTTGGAGCTCCATCTTTGTATCGATTGTATCTGCTCTTGTGTTTTTCGTGTGGGCAGCTTGGAGGTAAGCCACATTTCTCTGGCCCTTTGTTGTCCTTGAGGATGCCGTGTCATTATGGGCCTCTCATATTTCAACCTGAGGCTGAATGAGCCTGAAGTCAGATTCTCTTTCTTTAAGTGGACTTCATGTAAGAGCTGTCATGCCAATAAAAAAGAAAGCTGAAAAAGGGGGATATCGTATCTCCTTTTTGCACGATTTTGTGATTCAGTATTTGTACCTGTGCATTCAAATACTGTGCTGGTGAATGTTTTAAATAGCTTGTCAGCTCCACCTCTCTGCCTGTTACTTGGGTGACCAAAAGTTGGCTTGAGACGGCATTTCCAATATGGTGACCGCCATCATTGGGCTTCAAAACGCCCCTTCAGTAACCAATGGGTGACATCACTGAGACTAAATCCATCTTTTTTATAACATCTTTGCTCCTCTATTTGCCCCATCCAAGAGGTCTCCAACTCCGATGCTTTCTCTTCCTCTCTGTTACCTTTAGCACATTTGATCTCGCTTGAATTAAAAAAATGTCCAGTAGGACCTCAATTAAATCTTGCACTACTGCCTTTCCTGTTTTCATTGCCTCATTCATTGTGATCATCATTAGTCCACTTGCTCCTCTTCTCCAGTTGCTCGTCCCCTCTCTGGTAGCTGCTGCTGCTTGAGCTCTGCATGATTTGTATGCAAGCTGATTATTCACAAGGACCTCTCCACCAGTGACCTCTCCTCCATTGGTTTACTCTCTTGCTACACACTGTCATCCTTCCACATCCATCCATCCATCCATGTTTATGCACAAAGGAACAAGTTTAGATGCTGCTTCCACGAACTCTCACTTCTAGGGCCCCTCTGAACAAGGGGACCATTGAGCAAGATGTGGTGAGAGGAGGGGCCGTCCTGGCAGTCAGTCTGAGTTTGACAGTGGGCTGATCAAAGGCTGTGAGACTTTGTCTGTGACACAGGCTGCAGAATGGGGGCCTGATGGTGAGATATGCATGCCTGAACTCAACTGGGCATGTGTTATGTTGGGATTGTTTTGGTAGCTGAACCAAACGGTTTTCATCGCTTGTTTTGTAATATGGTTGTATTTAAATGGATGCAGTTGTTCTTTCAACAAACTCTTCAGGAGTTTAAATTCAAAAGTGTAATGGAGTGGCACACAGAGTCTAGGTTTTGGCAGCCAATTTGCCAGCAAAGGAGTTAGTTTTTGTGAAAATGCATCCAACTGCAAAACAAGTTTTCAGAACTTTATTTTGAAATTCTGTTCATGTGATTCCTGGCTGGGAGCAGCATCAACTTTTCCATGTCTGATGGCCTGATTCACAAAATAATTGTTTGGCCTTTTGCGCCTGCTAGACCTGTGCAAATGAGTCAAAGACATGATGTAAATCACAAAACACATGCAAAGTGTGAATATTGTTTGTGCAAATTCAAGTCCGCCATTTTGCAGTCATTTGGAGAAAAATTCTGACTCATAAGAGAAGGAGACTTCAAAGAGCAGGGCAACTTTTTGGGCGTCTTTGCACCTGAATATTATCAGCGCTATATGCTTTGTAAATTAGATCTAATTTGGGGCTTTCCTGTACCTGTGTCGAGAGCTGGAGAGAAATGAAACCTCCCAACAGCCAATCAGAGAGAGTCCTCTCACCAACTGCTGATGTCAAATTGGCCAAAAAAAGGCAGACGGGGGCCGACGGGTAGCAATGGTGCTGGACCGACGCCCGACGGTCTCCTCGGATTGTCATGCCCTTTACAACCTTATTAAACAAACAACAATTATTGCATGTTTGAATGTGTTGTGTCATAATAACTAGGTCAGTGTTTGTTCCTGTTACATAACCACGTACAGGATTTAACCGCGGCCACCGAGACCTGACCTCTGGATGGTCGTTCTGTTGTCAACATGACCCTCGCCTCCGTTTAAAACTTATTCAACCAACAGGCATGAAGGGTGAAAGCCTGTCATTGGGGCTGTTCACTTTTGATTCCCATGACTAACACATGAATTATTCAGTCTGGATAAGAAGATTTAAACTTCTTTTGGACAAACAGTCAACATGTGAAATATTACATTTAAATATACTTCACATAGTCACATGTTTACCTTCAGTCTCACACCGTCTGCCCCCCTGCAGCCGACACAGCATGTAATCCATACGTTCTTCTTCTCCCGCATGATGGAACCTGCCACAACCCAGAGCCCGGGGTAGGGTGGGGGGGTGGGGTGGGGGGGGCGAGAGAGTGGGCGTTCCCCTGATAGCGCTCTAAAAATAAACATGTGCTTTACATAATAACCCGATGTGTGTGTGAGAACGAGAGTGATCAATGCCAGCAGGTCCTTACTATTATCAGCTACAGGCAGCTGCAGATCCCGGCTGAGTTTCCAGATAAACACGACCAGGACGGTTTATCAGGTCTGATGAATGTTGCATCGAGACGCCCCTTTAAACGCAGACTCAGGTGTTTTCATTTATCTTTGAAGTGGAAATATAAAAAGAGGGAATGACTTATAATTTCTGATATTTATTATTTATTCTTCTCTGGGGGGGGGGGGGCTATCAAAGCTGTCTCACATCAAAAGACAGCGGACAGCTCACACTCTGTGTTCGGCCTCACTTTAAAGCGTGATTTAAGTTAAGTAGATTATTTACCCGAGCACCGTACTTTAGTGTAATTGTGAGGAACTGCTGTTTCAAGAAAACATAAGAGGTAACACTGGATCACAAAGAATGCTGATGTTACACAATATCTCAGCCAATAGTGATCCTCTTATACATGCCCCTCCTACATTTCTCTGAGTGATTCAGAGTCGCTGTAGGGGCTCGTATAATAGAATAATGTCATGAGTGTTAAACCCACAAATTTCTTTATTCATACATACAAGAAATAAAGATGAAATAGTCTTTGCTTTGGGGAGTAAACGTCTTCACTCTGAAGGATAGTGAGATTTAAGGAGCAAATCTTGAACTCTATATTTAGAATCAAGTCTAAAAAAAGAAGGATTAAAACTTCTTGCTGGGACAATTCTCCTGTTTCTTGCTGTCTACGACATCTTCCTTTATATTCCCAAAAACTGGTTAACCTTCTTCCACACACAGAATGAAACTAAGGACTTGATTGAACTCAGTTTCCTGTGTCATTTAGGATGTTTTCTCAACTTATTTATCTCGTTACCTCTGGGTTTTTACATGATAATAATGTAATTTCAGCCTTTTTCCTCGAGATCTCAAGAAACATCTTTGTGATCATGGTGAAACCAGCGTTGTTATCCTCGAGATAATGTGAGTTGAGATCTCGAGAAAACAACCTAAATGTGCTCGTTATCACAGGAAAGCAGATTGATGTATGTCCGTTTAAGGGAGTTTCAAACTTGCCCACAAATCCCTGAGGACCTCTCTCATGTTTCTACTCTTCAGCCCTGTTTCCACCAAGCGCTTCAGTTCGATCCGTCACAGTATGGTACGTTCATTTTGAGGCGTTCCCACTGCTGAAAGTTGGGAAATTTTCCAAAATGACCGGCCCGGACTGATCCTACTTTTTGCGATACCCTTCTGTTGGAGTGCCAAGTGTACCGATCCGACCCTTTTAATGGATTTGATAAAAACTATTTTTTTATCCAGTTTGCAACCTCCTCTGAAGAGTGCTTTGCAAAGAGCCATGTTTTTTTTTTTTTGACTCCTCGGTATGGAAACAGGCTTCATTTGCATTTCTTTTTGCAACTTCTCAAAAGTTTGCATACCTTTGTCTTGGAAATTGCATTGAAACCTGGAGACTGCCTCCCATACAGAGCAGAGAGATGATTACTGGAGGACGTAGTCAAAGTTAGTATCTCTGTGAAGACTCTTTTACTCTCTCTCTCTTTTTTTGCCTGTGTGAAGTGTTCACTGGTTGTTGCCTTCATCAATCACAACACCTTTCTTATCTCATCCATCTCAGAGGCCGATGTCTCCTTCCTCGCCCCTCCCTCAAATGCATACTAAAGATGCTTCCTTTTCCCCTTCTCTTCTTAACATTATTCTTTTTTTTTTAGCAGAGAACAATTGAAGAGGTGTGAAGAGTAGCCGCCTGTGTTCAGGTCATGATGAATGGAGAAGAGAGTGGGATCTTTTTTTTGCTTTTTCATCCCAGTGACCCCGCGGTCTCTTCAGCCTTTGCCGGACATGACGCGATCGTCGATTATTGTTGGCGACATTGGAGTCGCACAATGCAGCTGGTGTGTTAGCAGGAGAGCGTATCCGAGAGACGGACAGATGGGCTGTCACTCTCCCTCTGAGGAGATTTAGAGGATCAAAGAGGGTGAAAGGGAAGGAGGGAGGGAGGGAGGAGGGGGAGGCGTGAGAATAGTTACCATGGTGACCGTGACATCACTGTTTGCTTGTGTGCTCTGCCTTTTAAAAAGGGAGTTTTGTTTGTGTGGAGGTGAATGCAAACAGGAGACAGGAGGATGAGGAGGTGCTTTGTGAAATAGAAGCTTTTTTTTATTTAGCTACCCCTCCACTGTGCTTCTCGCTGCTGTAAACACATCGGAGTTACGTCAACGCGCTAATAACACGATCAACTCAGGTGTTTTTAAATGAGTTATTATTACTTTGAGGACGGGAGGAGGAGGAGAGACAGAGCAGGGCAGTGTGCTCTCCGGCTTTATGGTTAATGAATAAATGAATCATGTTGTTCATTTAATTCTGTCGAGCAAACACTGATAGGAACATGTGCTTCATATACTTTTATCATCAACAACACGCAGGGCGTGTCTTTAAAATCACATTTACAGACCATAGAAAATTAATTATTAAAAGAATAAATCACTGACAGAAACATTTAATAAAGCTCTGGATAAATCTGTGTAAACACAGAATAATTGGTCCCCTCCTAAAACCCAGAAGCTTCTGTGTGCCTGAATCTTTAATTTCATTATAATATGTAAAATATGAAAGGAAAAATGAATCACTTACTATAAAATTCAGGGTATAAGACGAACAAATTTTCCTCTGAAAAGTGGGCTGCGTCCTATACAGGTGCGACATACATACCAGTATAATAATAATAAAAATAATAATAATACATTTAATTTGGAACACACTTTACATTTTTGCAAAAAAATCTCAAAGTGCTACAGGAAAAAAATGAAATAGAAATAAAAACAAATTTCATCAACTAAGCAACTAATGAAACTAAAAGCACAAGCAGAAGGCTTTGTTAAAAAGGTGGGTTTTTAGGGCCCGTTTAAAAGCATCAGCAGATAAAATGCTGAGACATGCACATCATGGTTTGAAGTTCAGCCGCCACCATCCTGACTGCACACGACCTGTCGCTACTGTGATAGACGTTGAAATGCTAAAATGAAGTGTCAGAAACAGTTGTGTTAGAAAAGTTAGGGTTGAGCTATGTCCCAGCCCAAAGATGGAGATTATACCTTTCTTGACGACATGCTCCAAGCCTTACTTTGGTGATAAGAAGAAAAAACATTCCACATTGAAGTTCGAGAAAGCAAAGTTTCATTTTCTGTGACTTTGTTTAAATTCTACAGAAACCAAAAGCTTGTCGTCACATGTTCAGAGAGTCCCTCTAACCTCCTCCACGGCAGTCACCAGTTGTTCCCAAAGATGAAATCTCTGGCACCATTATGTCAAAAAAAATGTGTGTATGAGAGTGTGTGTGTGTGAGATAGTATGTGTGTTGTAGAGGCAAAGGTCAGGACAAGAGACCCGATACGACTGTCCCACTGACATGGAGGACACTTGTGGGGTGGGGGTTGGTGACACTGTATTTCACTCGGGATCGAAGGGCATTTGTAACTGATTCAACGAGCTCGTCTCCACCTCTGGCCTCAGAGGACAATTTCAGACGACAGAGGACAAGCTTCTGTATGTGAAGAGCAAGCGTTGTGCTTCATTTTGTGGCAGAGAGAGGTGTGGAAGTGTTGGACACAGAGCTTTGTTTGGGGGCTACTTTGAGACTTCAGAGCAAAGCAGAATGCGAAAGTGCAAAATCCTGCAGTTCATCGAGTGTCCACTAGAGGCTGGCTGCAGGAACACCGAAAGTCACAAACAGATTTTTTTCTAAATTTCATTTGATTTTGAGAATGATACGTGTTATCCATAGTTGACAGGTGGGCGCGATGTAACGGTTTGTCAAGAGGCTTAAAAACCCGCCTCAGCTCCAGCTCTCAGCCTGTCGTTAAGTTGGAACAGATGGATGACGTCACTCAGGCTTCGTCCATTCATTTTTAAAGTGAGAACTCACACAGGTGAAGGGGAATAAAATAGTCTTGATCCTGAGGAATTGATTAAAATTTAAATGTATTTACCAAACAAACAAAGCCACTGAATCCACATTGCCAGTGATACTGAACAGGATCTACCATCAGTATTAAACCTGTATATTAAAGGTTTCCACATTCTTCCAGTTTAAGAATTGATGCAAGGCTGTTGTAAGTAAGCAGCGCATGAACAGAGATAATGGAGAGCATGTCAACACACTCAACTTGACCGTACAGAACTGGGCCTCTTCAGCATGTTTTCCCATTATCATGTGCATAATGAAATCACAATATTGTAAATTCAGAGATTTTTTGTAATTGTCTCTGAGGGACACTATGCTCTCATGCCTGAACGTATCTCTCCCCCTTATAGGACATTCAAATTGCATCCTGCTTCTCATTCATGTCCCGTCAGTTCATCTGATATTGTTTTTCACCTTGTTTACTCCGCGGCGCAGGAGCTAAATAAAGAAAAGGTTAATGTGCTGTACTCATTTTAACTATGCATCAGCCTCTCCAGTGATACCATATCTGTTTCTAAAACAGGTACAGCCATGAGCAGCCGGGAGTCACTCGATGTTCTCACAGTCTGAACATGTGTGTGTGCATGTGCATGTGAATATGTATGTGTGTGACTAAGCTAATAGGAGATCTAACATAGACCTGTCACCTCACACAAACACACACATACACACACACACACACACACACACACACACACACACACACACACACACACACACACACACACACACACACACACACACACAGCCTGTATGCTTACAAAGAAGGGGAGGATATGTGGAAACCCTGCAGCACAGCAGCTGTGTTTATGGACTGTGAATGTGGTACATTGTGTCTCCTCCAACCAGATGCTCCACAGGGCAAAGTATGCACAAGTCCCCGGGGTGAGA